TGTGGTAGAAATGATAACTTTTGGACAAAATGTGATACCAATGCTAATTTTCCCTAACTTATTTATTTTAGAGTATTCATTTTTATATAAATAAATTTATTGTTTCTCGTACAAATCAGTTCAAACATTGTAGTGCACTAATTTTTTTTTGAATAAAGACAAGAAATATACAGAATTTTAAGAAATAATGATTTCCAAAAATGTGGAAGCAATGACCAATTGACTACGATTGATAGTCAATATAAAATGTATTTAGAAAGAAACAAAAAATAACGAACGTAGCTACTTTTAGTAAGACAAATCAACATTAGTCATCGGAGAGTCATAGATCCTAGGATCCCTAGTGCATTGCGGAAGATTCGACGGTGGAGATGGCAAGCTCGTTTCTGGAGTTGGCCCATTTTGAACTATGAAAGCCATCATAATTCCGTATGGTAAATGAGCATCCATGTGACAATGGAACAGCCATATACCTGCAAACATACAAGTTCATATTCATATTAATCCATTTATTAATAATTAACTGGTGTAGTAGATACTAAAAATATATATAAATGTAACTAACCAGGATTATTAGCGATAAATCTGAGGACAACCCATCCACCTGGTGGTACACCAACGGTATTACGCATTTGTGGGTTAAATAGATTTAGCTTTCTTGCATCACGGACAGGATCGTAGTTACCAAATCCATAACCCAACACATAGAAGTTGAAGCCATGAAGGTGCATGGGGTGGCTCTCCCTGGTGAGTATCGCGGTGTTTTGCAAAACGATCTCGACTGTAGAATTACACCTAATTGTCTTGACGCTAGTCTTTCTTTCCGGAAACATCATCTTGAAGTCAGAATTGGTACGCTGTTCGAATCTTGTGTAATCAAATTTAACCGGTGGTTGGTTGGGAAAATCGTCGGTGTAGACTCCAGTAATGTTGTAAAAATAAGCCTCTTGCATAGAGATTCTCTCCGGGATCATAAAAGTGCGGTTGTTGAGAGAACCAGCATATCTTTGACCTAACGGTCCAATACACTTGGTGTTCGAAGGACATGGGTCTAAGCCAAGCCCCATCGTTATGAACATCTTCTCGTCTATATGGCGAGGCACTGGTGTCCAGTGTGGTCCACCCACGAGGCTAGTGATGTTTGATGAGAACCTATGAGCGGTGGGTATGTCATTCGGCGCAGGCATCAACGGCTTCACGGGCGATGATGACGTGGCACCCTCGTAGACGATTAAGCCTCTGGTGGGGTTGGTATCAGGGGTCGGTATCCCAATGGCACTAATGTAAGGGATGGTGGCCATGTAGTACTTTCCAATGGGCTGGTCGGCGGTGAGAAGTGCGTCAACGGTTTGTCCCGGGGTTAAGATCATCACATCGGTTAGGTACGGTGTCGTGTAGACAGCATCTACAGCGACAACTGTGACGTTGTGATTGGCTATTTTGAAGAAGAGGTGAGTGTTGAGTGCTGCGTTTATAATCCTTAGCAAGTATGTTTTTCCTTGTACTACCTTGAGGTTAAACATTCCTAGGGAAGCCAAAAACCAAAAAAGTCAATTATGTTTTTTTGTTAACAATTGTTGTGTTAATAAGTAATAAGGAGGTCGATAATTTACAAAAGAAGATCAAAGTAACTTTTTATTCAAGTCAAGAATGAGTATTACTATTCTTAGAGCAAGGATATGAATCTCCAGCGAGGCCATTCATGAGGTAAGCATCAGAAACCGGAGCTGGCCGTATTTCGAGAAGTCTAACATCTGTGTCCCACCATTGTTCTGGCATATTCATGTTTTATCAAACAAATTATATTAACAATTTGAATATTATATATCAGGTCTTTTATATATTTGGTGGATGTTTATTTTAATCCGAACCAACTCGTCCGGATGTGGCCTAGATCGAAAAAGTCGTAACAACTTGTAAATAATAGCTATTTGGAAAAACATTATTTTTTTGAACAAATCTATCTTTTAATTTAATATTATACTGAATAAATATAATTGAGAATTGCCATTGTCCCAAATGGCCAAAATTGATTTCGACAATAAAAAAGGGAATCGAAATGCTTACGAAAAATGAGAGGAACTTCCTCGTAGGGTTTAGGAAAAGGATAAGGACGGCCGGATCGGGGACGGATGAGTAGAGCCCCGTGAAGAGTGGCTCGTAGATTAACGACGTGTGCATGCCACAACAATGTACCTTCTTGACCGGTAATATCGAATTGATATGTGAAGTTGTAACTAGGTTGAATCGGACATTGAGTTATCATATTTGCACCGTCCATCCATACGCTCTTCAGCTGAAAAACTCCATGCCTATACATATATGTGTAAAATCAAGAAATAACTTTTACTAACACCTAAATTGATATCAAAGCCCGTAATAAAAGAAGAAATAATAATAACAATATTGAGATCAATAAGTAGTTACTTAATTACCAGTGGATGGTTACATTATAAGTTGAGTTGTTGATGACATGAACCACAAGAGTGTCGCCTTCTCTAACGTTGATCGTTGGACCGGGAAGATTTCCATTAACTGCCGGTATCATTTGTTCCTTGCATAACGGTTTCACCATGACGTCTTTGACCTGTTGTTGTCAGACGCCGTTAATATATTAACTTCTTCTTTTTTTGGCAATTATTAACATTTTCTTATGGCAAAGTTAAAAGTTAAAAGCAATACTAGTTTATATGCGTTGTCTTATATTTTGTATATATTTTTTTCTCCCAATAGGTCTATAATCTAAACATCTTAAGTCAGTTTAATACACATATAAGTTATAAAGTAAAATGCAAACAAAAAAACAACATTTCACGCTTTATATATTCGTAATATACCACTATGTATTTATATAATCTTATTTTGCTAAGAGTATTTATAAAATCTTGAGATAAAATATACTAAAACTCGGGGGTATATTAGATCGATCCACCAAATACGGTAATAAATTTTGAAATGAAGGAAAACAAAAGCACGTACGTGCACACCACCAACTTTTCCAATTTTAAGAAATAGTATATAGTGTAAAATGAAAATTTGTAATATATAGTTTCCAACAGTAATAAAATTAGTCGGTAATTTTTTGAATTATATTTTATAGAGGAGAGAAAAACAAAGAAGGAGAATTTGGTATAAGAGTAAATACTTGGAAAACATGTTCGACAGTAGCTGCTGAGGCAATGGAAGAGAAGAGAAAAAAGACGAGGAAGACTTGATTTCGGAGATAATGATGAAGTCGAGGCATTGTTGATGTAAAGATATGGAATATGATATTTTTGCCCTACTTGTGACTTTGTGAGAGACTCATGATCATACGCGTATTTATAGAAGGAAGTAAAGAACTTAAAGGAGAGAGATATGGCAAATGTTTTGATAAAATTTGCCCACTATTATATTAGAAATGGCCATCTCAAACACTTTGACAGGACAAACAAAAAATAAAATAAAAATTGCAAACTATCATGTCTCTTGGATTAGTTTTCATGCACTTGCATGTAAAATATCTGTGCTTTCTGAAACATTCCTTCTCTGGTCTCTTATTTTATATTTGTTGCTTGGCGAAGTCGTAAAGTCGAAGTTTCGAATACGATTTCGTCCCTTGTTGATTGTGGCCTAAAAATCTATTATAATTGATGTTTCCAAAGTCATTATATATATATTATGTCACATCTTAAAACTTAAATATTAACCTCCATTTTATTTATGATATTAGTATTATATACTACTTTAGGTGACATTTGAATGACTTTATTTTTGTATTTTTTTAAAGGTTTTTTTTTCCCTTTTTAAAAAAAAATAGTTCATTTTTTCGTATTTTGATGAAGAATTTTCAAAAAATTTGGCAAAAAAAAATTTCGCCAAAGAATTCTTCACTATTTTGCAGTTCATGAGTGGAGCTCCTACAATGTCATCAACAGTATTGGCAAGAAGGTGTCTTTGTTACCTAATGACTGAAATGTTCAGTGAGGCTCTAAGCGATGCGATGCAAGCGCAAGTAGCTTCACTGGAATGGCCAATAATCCCTCTCTTATTTACATGTGGTTTGTCTCTTGAAGCTCGAGATGGAAGCTGAAGCTAAAGAAGCACTTAGAAATGGTTCTGCTTTTGAGGCTAACTAGACTGACTTTATGAAAATACTTATTTTGAGAAACTGTGAATACATACAAAAACGTATACAAGTCAATGTGTACCTATTCAAAAAAAGTATGGACCTACACAGAAATAAGTTATATTAATTGTGGTGCAGATATAACAATCAATGAGGGCGTTTGGTCTAGTGGTATGATTCTCGTTTTGGGTGCGAGAGGTCCCGAGTTCGATTCTCGGAACGCCCCTATTACTTTTTTTGTTATTTTCATGACGAAAGGATTAGAACCGGTTATCAAAGCTGCGGCGTATCTCCTTCCTTTTACCGCCATTTTAGTGTTCGAGGAGGAAAAGAATTAGACTGTTTGTCTAATTCGATTCTATGGATGAAGAGAGTGGCATAGAGAAAACGAGAAATATAAATATGGGTGGAATAGAGAAAATGTATTTGTGGAAATGAAGGTAGGAAGAAAAGAAAAGTAATACGTTGAACTCTGACTTGTCTTCTGCATCAGCTAGTCAGCCCAGCTAAGGTCCTGACCTAACAACATGGTTAATACTTAAAACCAATAAGATTTTAATGTTTTTTCTTTGTTAAACAAGCAAGATTAATGTGCTACTTTAGAAGCAGCTATAAATTAATCAAAATGATTTTTTTTGCTCTCTACTACTCTAGTTGATTACCATAAAATGATGTGTAATCAAAGATACAATATTGTAAAATTATGGTAATTAAGCATTTTATTGAATATTTAGATTAACACACAGTCGGATTGCATATCTTACTCACCAACACCAATGTTTATACTACATTGAATTGTTTGGTTCAAGAGCTGAATTGACACCATCTATTGCTGTTGATTTTAACCACTATAACCCAAAATTCTGTGCAAAGTTTTAAAACGCAGTCAAAGTGTTCGATGAAATGCCTCAGAAGAAACTTACAATTGCTTGATCGAAACTAAATCAAACGATTCAGCCACAACAAAGTAAATACGAAACAGATTCTCAAATAAGTCAAACGATACACCGTTGTCTGAATCACATCAACCTTTAAAACCCTACTCATTCATTAGCTAAAACCTTCCAATCTAAAGACAGAGCCATTACAGGCAGAGACATGTGTTTCAGAACTACAATAACCATCATACGAGTAAGAAAATGGTAACCTCGTTGACATAAAATCAATCAAATCTCCGTTCACTTTTTATCGTCGCCGAAAAGTAGACGGAGACGAGAAGCAAAGACGCCGGTAGAGTCAATCGAAGCTTGATGAAGAAGATCGCTCTTGATTTTACTCATACGATCCGTCAAACTATCTTGCTCCTTCTTGAGAACAGCAGTGTCTTCCTCCAGATCGTGAATTCGGTACTTCTGACTTACCGATCGGAAACTCAGAAGCAAAATCCCAGTCATGGCGAAGAACTGGAAGAAGCTTTGCTTGTTCTTCTTCACATTCTCGAAGAATCCAGACGCTACAGCTGTTAAAGCCTTCGCCGGATCTTTCCCGGTGAGAGGATCAGCAGATCCCTGTGGCGCAGACGAAGCCATTTTCGATGTCTAAATGAACCCAAAGGGGAATGAGTTTAATCAATCGTCTCTAAGAGAGAAAAAGAAAGGGCTCTCGAAAATGCCCAATACATTTTTTTTGCTTTCGATTCAGAAAAGGCCTATCGTTGATTTTCATAGCCTCTAATACAGTTGGAAGGTTAAAAGCGCAAACCAAAAGGCAAAAATATGAATGAGATGAATAAAATTCATGGTAGAAAAAATTGTTATAGCATAAATAGTAATCATATAATCAAGTATGTAGAATGAACATAATAATATTAATGGTTTATTTGTCTTGTTTATTTTTATTATATAACTAAAACTTATTTTTCTCTCTGTTATCAAAAGACTTATTTTTCTCTTTGTTCATTATCAGTGTTTAATGTTTGATGATGATGGGTTCATCTAGTTTAAAAATGTTTGGATATATATGTCAAAAATCCAACCAAGCCAGATGGCAAAAAACTGAAATGAAATATTCGTATTATTGTGATAAACATTATCTGCTGGTTTTAGTATTTGTTCACTTTCTTTTTCCCTTTTTTTTTTTTTTTTGTCAATCAAACACCATATATTAATTCACGGACGAGAACTCTCTTCTAGAGAGAGCCAATTGGATACCGTCGAACTTACATGGGAAAAGCAGAACTCGCAACCTCTTGCACCGTCATCATTTGAAACTTTTGTCAATTGAGCCAATTGGATACCGTCGAACTTTCTTTTCCTCTTATGCATGTCATCATTTGAAACGTTTGTCAATTCGAGGTGATCATGTGAATAACGTAATCACCAAACGTAACATTGTAACAGTATGCGATGAGTTTTATGGAATACCAAATGAAATTATATAAACTAGAAAATATGCAAATTTTATATATAAAAAGATAAAATGAAATTACAGATCAAATGCAATCAACGAAAGCCACAAGAACAACTTAAAAGAGAAATATAATAATGATCACAAAAACACAGCAAATGTCCCACTCCCACATCATTATTCATTCTTTAACCATTTTTCTTAATCATCAGTCTCTTTTACTTTCTTCTCTTCCTCTTCACTGGTCTTGGCATGATAACCTGGAAGCTTCTCTTTAATCTTTTCCAGAATGCCCTTCTTCTCCTCCGGATGTTCCACCGGATGCTCCGTCGTAGGCTCCACTGGATGCTCCGTTACAACCAACGGTGTGCTGGTAACAGCTGGTGAATCCTCTGGAGTCTTGTCGTGGTGGCCAGGAAGCTTCTCCTTGATCTTCTCCCCTAGTCCTTTCTTCTCTTCCTCGGTTTGGTCATGCTCCACCACACTCTCCGACACTGGTACCGGGATGGTAGTGGAAACTGGTACATCATCCTCTGGTTTCTTGTCGTGGTGGCCTGGAAGCTTCTCCTTGATCTTCTCCGCTAGTCCTTGCTTCTCTTCCTCTCCTTCAACGATCTTCTTCTTCTCCTTCTTCTCCTCCCCTTCTTCATCGCTCGACTGTTAGATATTCAAATTTCAAGAACCATGAGTATGATTATTGGTACAATCAAGATCTACAAAACTAATCTAAATCTTGTATATAAGTATCTCTTATCAACCATTTCGATCAAATCAAATTTCATAAATTTTTACTTACAGAGGAAGCAGAGCTGTTGGATCGGTGAAGCTTTTCGATGACACTAGGCTTGTTCTCCTCATCTTCCTCGGTCTTCTCTTGAAGCTCTTCAAGGAGAGTAATCTTGTTCTCCTTCACTTCCTCGTGCTCCGCAGCTAACTCCGGTTCCGAGATCTGAGCCTTATGATCAAACTCAGACTCGAGCGTCGTTGTCTCTTGAGGTTTCACTTCCTCTTCCTTCTTCCCCAAGAAATCAAACAATCCACGATCCGTAACCTCTGTAGTCGTCGCTGGTGATTCCTCTGTTGCGACCTTTGGTGTCTCGTGCTCGGGAACGTTGTTCTTGTACTCCTCAGCCATAGTTAATCTTGATTCGATTGAAAGGTTAACAGTAAACAGAATAATATGTGAGATTTGTGTAGTTGCTTTTAGATTGTTTTGTGAATGAGTAATGTTTATGATGAGAGAAGAGAGAGCGGGGGTTTTTATAGTGTCAAGAGACTCAAGACTCAAGAGAAGGGTCCAGGCCAACGCGGAGGTAACGCTGTAAAGATTTTTTTTTTTTTTTTTTTTTTGTCAAAACGCTGTAAAGATTTAGTTAATTTATTTAGTAATCCAAAAGATGGATATTTATTTCTGGAATTGCATAATGACCCCTTTTTCTTTAAGTCGGTAGATGAATATCATGATATCACCACCTTATTTTTTCTTAATTTAAGGATTTATGTTTTAATATGTAGATGAAGAGTTAAACTAATATTAGATAATCGCATAGTCATGTACTTTTATCTACAGGAGCTGTATCAAACTATAGTCTATGGTTACGTGGTTGAAGTCCATCCTTTTATTCTATTATTTTATTGCATTTTATCAAATTAAATAGATAACAGATGTATAAGTAAAGAGTTTCAATGGACTAGGAGTATAATGTAGTGGTTTGGAATTTGAATTTGATGTTATGTCACCATCATATTATTTCAAGCTTTTTGTAAGAAGAAAAAACAAAACACTAAATAATTTGTCTGGAAATAGAACTTAACAATTTTTAACATTTTTTCTTGTTTTTTATTTTAAATTGTTTTGACCTTTTACTTTACTAAAAAAAAATATGAAAGAAAGTTCAAACTTCAAAAGGGGTGTTTCCAACTCTTTTAAGACTTTCAGGTTATGTCTCTAAAATTTATAAATAAAGGGGTAAAGTAAAATAAATAGGAAGTAATTATAACCGAAATATGAACAGCATTAACCAGCCAAAAGATCAGTATAAATGGAAAAAGATCAGTATAAATGGAAAGACTAATGTAAACATTAGAATAATTTAGAAGTTAGAACGAATTAGAAGAAAAACAGAATAATGTAGAAGGCATAGATGGAGCCAATATACTACTAACACGTGTCAAAAGAGGTGTAAGGGCCCCACACATGGAACTGAATGGTCGGCTTTGATAGGCTTTAAGCATAGTTGTCGGTCATGTGGGCCATTAGACACGTCGGCTATAGCTAGATTGCAGATATTTTGCGGGTAAATTACAAACATGGCATTATTACTCCTCTAATAAATTGCCTTTTTAAGAACTAAGACGTTAATTTGTTCAAAAAAAAAAAAAAAAAAAAAGAACTAAGACGTTAACAAAAAAAAATTATGCATCAAAGTAGATTTTAATTTTGAAATAAATTTGTCAGAAGATAAACAACGGTATTGAAATAATTATATTATAAGTATGAAATTTTAGGTATGTGATGTCGTTTTTTGGCTTGTATGATAACGGACGAAAGCTTTATCGTTATATTTAAATAAGATTTAACAGATGGGGCATTTGAGAACGCACAATTTCGGATTTTGCTTAAAGTTATTAAATTATATGAATCGTGTTCGGTTGAAAGATTTAAGACGTTGTGCCACTTGATAAATTGAGACGTTTCATGAACACGCGACCCGTAATTAACAGACCGAATTTTAAAAAACTTAGGCATTGGGGTGGTCACTCTACCGACACATAATACCAAACAAAGCAATCGTTTTCGTTTGCTATATTGATTTTAATTAATTTATCGCGTTAAACTTTTACAAACTACAATATAAACAAATTTGTGTAACCACATGTAAATTTACCTGACCTAAAAAAAAAACGAAAAAAAATCTAACCGCATTTCTCAAAGAATCATATAGAAAATGAATTGATCTTATAGAGATGTACTATTTGATTAGAAACAAATGTTGAACCGAATCTAAACCATTATCAAACCGGCTTTTATATATTTTAAACTGGAAATCTTAAAAATTGAACCATAGCCATATCAAATACCTCGGCACTAAAATATGATATGCTGTGCCGAAAATTTAGCAATTAGGCTATCAAAACGGATCAAGGTCTACGACTTTCAATTAACAATCAAGCACATGATGCGGGTACGGCCCGATTATAAAGTCTATGCACGGGTTCTATATATACGTCATGTATACAAAAAATAAGATGGTGAGACAATGATGATATGTGTCTAGGCTACATATGTCTTGGTCAAATATAAGTCTATTATAAACTGAAATTTTAAAAACTCTTTCTTTTACGAATTGACAAGTCTATTGCCTAGTTCACTCACTACTAATATTAAGAAGTAATTAGTATATTCATTTTTTTTTCGTCGTCTAAATTTATTACTAATTGCAAAATTATGAGAACTATTACATAGACGATTTTACAACTGATAATTCTTTCCGATTTTTACTAGATTCACGACAGACTACACTTCCTTCTTCGTGATCTTGATGAATACCAACATGATCCACAACCTGGCGACACTTCCTTCTCTGCGTAGAATCCTGGCGAACGGCTATAATTGTACATCGTTGGAGATCTCTTGCACATTTGCCTCCATTAATATGCAAATTTGTTAATAAATCGCAATATCTGGGACTCGAACCCCAGACCTCTTGGTGTAGAAGCATTAATCAATCCTTGGTCAACCAATGGGCCAAGGGGCTTCCACAATTAGTATATTCATTTATGTACAAAAATACTAATAATTAAATCCATAAATGTGATCTTGAACTGGTCTATTATTATGAATGTAGCTATAATTTCCATATATATCAAATGTTAAATACTTTTTTTTTGGAAAAACTAAAATTTTAAATACTAACTATATTAAATTTAGCATGTCATTTGGTTCAACGAAATCCATAAAGAAAAGTTGGTACATCTTACAGTTCTCATGAACAACAATAGTTCCAGGTGAAATTATTGAGTCACCATATATTTATTTAACGCTAGCATGCTTTCATCTGAAATTCTGATTTTCTTTACATAAACACTATTCATGAGAAATCATCCATTTAAGCTCCATTGAGTATACGATTGTTTCCAATAGATAAATAGTTTTATATAATAAACACAAATGATCTATCACTAAACACAAACTTGGATAACACAGCTTGAAATACAAAAGAAAAGAGATAATGATCAACATTAAAAAAAAAAAACACAACAAATGTTCCACTCCCACATCATTATTATTCATTCTTTCATCTTTTTCTCTTAAAGAGACTCTTTATCTTTCTTCTCTTCCTCTCCACTAGTCTTGGCATGATAACCTGGAAGCTTCTCTTTGATCTTATCCATAAACCCCTTCTTCTCCTCCGGATGCTCCGCGATCGGTGTTGCTGTTTCAACCAGCGGTGCGGTGTTGACGACCTGTGACTCCTCTGGTTTCTTGCTGTGGCCTGGAAGCTTCTCTTTGATCTTATCCATTAATCCTTTCTTCTCTTCTTCCTCTGGTTTTTTATCGTCTACCAAATGTGGTGCTGGCATGGTGGTGACGACTGGTACATCATGACCCTCTGGTTTCTCGCCGTATGGAAACTTCTCCTTGATCTTGTCCATTACTCCTTGGTTCTCCTCTTCCTCTGTTTTCACATCACCTTCAACGATCTTTTTCTTCTCCTTCTTCTTCTTTCTCTTCTCACCGTCTTCACCTTCTTCATCACTTGACTGTTGAATATTCAGAATTTCAAAACCATGAGTTTGTTTCAAGATTTAACCAAAAAAACTATAAACGAATCAAACTTTTACTTACAGAGGAAGAAGAGCTGTTGGAACGGTGGAGTTTGTCGAGGAGACCATGCTTGTTTTCTTCTTCCTCCTCGTGTTTCTGGTGAAGCTTCTCAAGGAGAGTAGGCTTATGTTCCTTCAGTTCCTCGTCTTCGTGCTTGGCCACAGACGGCTCTGGTTCAGAGATCTGAGTCTTGTGCTCGAACTCAGATGCGAGAGTTGTCGTTTCTTGAGGTTTCACTTCCTCTTTTTTCTTCAAGAAATCGAACAGTCCCCGTTCCTTAACCTCCGGCGTCGTGGTTGATGATTCCTCTGGAACGTTGTTCTTGTACTCTTCTGCCATAGTTAATCTTGAATCGGTTTAATTAACGCTTAACGAGAATGATAAAGAGAAATATTCAAAATTTCGATTTGAGCTATAAGTTGCTTTATGATAGTTTTCAAGAGCTGTGTGATGAATATTATTGTGATGAGTGGGGTTTTATAGTGTGAAGAAGAGGGTCCAGGCCAACGCGGAGGTCACACGCTGTTGAAGATTTTAATTATTTTTTTTTTAAAATATGGCAAAGGACGTATACTATTTCTTACGTCGGTGGATAAATATCATGAAATCACCACCTTCTTTTTCTTAATTTAAGGATTTATGTTTTTAATATACAGATTAAAGAGTTAACTAATACTAATTAGATATTTGCATAGTCATGTACTTTTATTTCACGGGAAATGTATAGAAGTTTGGTATACCTGGTCGAAGTACTTCCTTCTAATATTATTTGATTGTATTATTTAGAATCTACTGTATAGTGTAGTTGTTTAAAGTTTGAACTAGTAGATGTGTCATCCTCACGATTTAAGGTATATGTTCGAAAAATACTAAAAGGTTTAAATAAGAGATTTTTTGTATTTAAAATTTTTAGCCTTGAAACAAAACTGTAAAATATGTGAAATTTATAGACTTTTTATATTTGTATTCAACTAGGAGAACTGGAAGTCTGTAGAAGAACTTCAAACGTCAAAGACATGTTCTAATACTTTTAGGGTTATCTCTCTAAGAAATAAAAATAACGGGATCAAATTGCAATAACATTAAAATAAATAGAGAGTAGATTTGACCGATCTATTCACAGGTTTAACTAGCCATAGCCATCATGCCACGTAGAAATAAATAATTGATACTACCTGTCAGTAAATAGAAAGACTATGGAGGGATCAAGCCAATACATGGTAGACACGTGTCGAAAGGACGTTTCAGGAGCCCACAAATGGAACTGAATGGTCGGTTTTGATTGGCTTAAGCGTTGATGTCGGTCATGTGGGGCCGTCTGGCTTCTTATGCCACGTCGGCAGAGACTTTCGGTGAAATAACTTGACGTTAATTACCTTTTTAAGACGTTACAAAAAGAAAGAAAAAACATGCAGCAAAGTAAAAATTTATCTTTGAAGAAGTCGGAAGCTCTCGAGTCTCCAAGGTGTGGAGTAAATTTATTTAAGATAAAGAAACGTTATTGAAATAGTTAAAAAGAATTAAATTATATGTTATGTATGTGGTGTTGTTTTTCGGCTTATATTACTTATGTAAGCTTAATTAAATTTTTCATTTTATATTTTAAATAAGATTGGACAGATGGGACCATTGAGAACGCACCATTTCGGATTTTGCTTATAATTTAATAAATTATAAGAAGATTAATATGAATCGTGTTCGGTTGAAACTTGAAAGATTCATCACGACGACGTGCCACTTAATAAATTGTGACGTTTTCATATACACGCAACTTGAGTCACATACCGAATCTTTTATTTTCGGCATTAGGACGGTCACTGTACCGACACATACCAAACAAAGCAATCTTTTCGTTGCTATATTGAACAACAATTAATTGATTGCAAACAAGATTATTTTGTACACCTAGTCGAAGAGTTTAATTAGGATAAGCCTCAGATGGAAATGGAAATATAATAAGAATTAGAACTATCTAGAAAAGAGAAGAATGATCAATAGATCACATATAAAATTTCATCCAAAAGTTTCGATAGTAATAAAAAAAATTATACTATACATCTGCAATTATCCCTCTAAAAATCTTATTTTTGAGTATAATGACTTAATGAGACTATGGTACCCCAAACATAAAACAATTTCATAGATCAACAACACACAAATGATCCAACTCCATTAATTTCCGTACACGCAACGGCGATTTTCCCATAAAACGAAACTCAAAATATTTTGTTTAATTTAAGATCTCGAAGGGCCCAAATGTGTAAAATAATACTTACATCATTACACTAACATGGGCTTCTAAAATCAAATCGGGTTAAGAAACCGGAAAAGTTATAACCCGACCCGGGATTTTGACACCGAGACAGGGGAAAGGAGGAAGAGTCTACGCTAACGAACTTTAGACGAATCGAAACATTTTTTGTTTCGTCTCTGAAAAAAATTTGAATCTCCAGAGTTGTTTCCCGTTGTTAGATTCATCGATTTCGAAAGAATTGATCTTGATCGTGTTTCTCCGACGGATTCTCCGGCTATATCAGTCGACTGAGAAGAAAAGGTTTTTTTCTTCTGTGGTGGTGAAATCGGAGAATCGCAGCATAGGAAAGCGATGATAACAAGATCGAATCTAGCAGAGCAGCTGAGGGAATATCAGATTCGATCTAAGCATGATTGGGCTTCTGTCTCTTTCTTCTCGTCGACCTCGAGTTTTTCTTCTTCCTCTAGGTGAGGATTATTTGTTTTCATCATTCGAGATCTGTGCTTTTTTTGCTTTCCAATGATCGTCTTTGTATTTCGTACAGTTATGTTCTTTGGTGGATGTGAGCTTTGGTTGCATAATATTTAGAGAATTGGATTTGGTTACATTAATTTTACATTTGAAAGTTAGGGTTTGGGAGATCTGAATGTAATGTTAACATGATCCTGATTTATAGAATTAGATATCATCTCTTTGTTAAAATCTGGCAAGGGGAGATTTTGGTTGTGTGTTGAAGGAATGCATAATTTGAGTAAAGCATAAGTTTTTCCTTTTAAGATATTTTCAGCTTCATTGCACATTATATCACTCTTTTACTCACAGAAGAGAAAATTTGCATACCCAGAGGAGTGAATAATGATCTCTGGCTCTATCAGGCATTATTTATGGTAAGTCAAGCTAGTTGCACTGTGAAGACCTTATTTAGACTTTGACATTGTCATTTCAGGCAAGATGAAGTTAGTTCTGTATGTAAAGTAGCTATAGGTTTTCGAGTATAGTGTGTTTACTTAGAGTATTCAGTCTCACTACTATTTCTGTTTTTGGTTAACTCGATTGAAAATATAATATCTAACACCATCCATATTGCGGTATAATTATTGAAGTTTCATTATAGGATCAGCAGCAGTTCATGCTTATCGTTGTGTGCTTGTGGGGTTTTGTGATATATAGACAGATACGATAAAGAGAGTAATAATGCACCCATGTGTTTCTTGTTTCCCTTCGAATCGCCTTCTCACTCGTATACAATGTGGTTCATTCCGTTTTCTAGCTAAGAAGGAGCTACTTATTATCAAATACAAAATATATCGTGTACTTGTCTTTCTCAGGATACAAGTCCCACATATTACTGTCATAAGATTATGTAGAGCAAACTCTTTGTTTTTTTTCTTAAGTAAATTACACTGTAGTTAATCGATTTAAATCTCTTTTCAAGATTGAATCCCATTTTTATGAGGTTAAATTGATCGAAATTCTCTTCCTTCTTATCTCTTACAATCATTGATTGAGTCCTTTGTTGTTTGACTTTTACGGATTAAGCTTCAAATCTTCATGAATTACATGTTTATTAATAAGCTTCTATTTGGTTTTATCCAGGGTGGATGTTGTAGTCTTTGTCATCTGGGAGCTAGTCATCTTAGCATTCTTTGTGTTTTCAGCGGTTTCCTTGTACTTCAAGCGGTTACAACTCGCATTCATCTTGATATGTGTCACGTTGATGCTACTAATTTGCATGAAGGTCACAAAGCAAGTGAGGTTAGCCAGAAAGAAGAAGCGAAGGATGCTTCTTCCGCTATCTATGTAAAGTTGCAACATCACCATCCCCATATGAGAAGTTGCAATCTTTTTCTCTTACTTAGCCACAAAACTCACCTCCTGGTTCTCCGTGCTGATCCAGTTACGCGTTTAATGGATGAAGATGACAGTTATGCTCACGGCACGGGTAGAGTGAGGCCAGGGTGGCTGAGCCGGGCGATTTCAGGATTTTAGATTTAGAATCAGACAATCATTTTTCTGATTAGCATTAGGCTGCAATCTGGTTTTGTTCAGAGAAAAAATACATGTGTTCGAAAGAGTTGTGTTTCATGTGTAATTGTGGTTGTGAATTTCAGACGGTTTAGGGTAAACGAATGAGAAAAATAATATTGAAGCTTGCATTATTTCTAGAATGTCTCGAAGATTAGTTTGTAATTTGTCTGATTTCGGCTTCTACTTGGTTTATTCTGAAACAATAAAACCAATCCTTTTACATAATTTTTTTGGTTCAATTTATGGTTCAGACCTCATAGGTACATATCACAAAGATGAAGATGCAGCAAATAGAAATTAGAACGGTGTACTACTCGGGACTACTCATACATAGTTGAAAAGTGAGGGCTTGTAGGATTTCATGTGACTTGAAGAAAAAGACGAGAAGAAATTAAAATAGGGGAGATAGATACACAAGAAAGTAAGAATAGAGAAGTTGAGGACGTGAGTATAACAAAGAAAAGCAGCAGCAATTTGCTCTAAACGGTCACATCTCACATGCTCTATTGTCACCACCACATCTCCTTTTACCTTCTCACAAACTAATACTATGTGGCCTAAATTATATGTAAGTGTTCTTTACCATTCGCAATCAAAATCGTTTATGCACATCTTTTTTTTCTTACCTCAGTTTACTTTTTTTTTTATGGTATGAACCTCAGTTTACTTTATTTATTAGTTATTAATTTAAAACAATTGTTTTAGTATATTCATACATAGTTTTGTTTAAATATCTTTCGTTTTTATCTGTTTTCAGATTTTAACTGACAATTTCTTTTTTAGATTTAACAATTTGGTTTATATAATACTAATTTTATTTTTATCATACATATTTCAGATTTTTTTGCCAAAAAAATTATTGTTGATAGAGATCCAAGACAATAATACATCCACTTACTCTCATATAGTAATATCCTTTTAACCCAAATAATGAAGAATTACACGGCTACCTTACCCCTTCCACACATTCCTAATCCTCTTTTTGGGCCGCAAAACAACTACCACAAACACTAATCACATTTTGTAGTATATATATGTGGAGAGAGAGGCAAGTATAGTTCAGACAGTAACATACTAACAGTATACACAACGGTATTATATTTGTAACAGATCAAAGTTCTCTATATGTCTCTGAAGAAAAGGTCTTGCTCGAGGCTTAGACTCACCGATTTGATGGAGAAGTGGAGGAAGTGTAAGAAAGGACACTTCGCTGTGTACACCAGAGAAGGCAGGAGGTTTGTTTTGCCGTTGGATTATCTCAAACACCCAATCTTTCAGGTCTTATTGGAGATGGCAGAGGAAGAGTTTGGTTCCACCATTTGTGGCCCTTTACAGGTTCCTTGCGATGGAGGTTTGATGGATCACATCCTCATGTTGTTGAGAAACAGGAATTTGTCTGACCATGATGATGATGGTGGTGATGATGGTGTCAAGAAGAAGACGATGAATCAGGATGTGTCCCCCATGAGCACGTCGTGCAAGGGAGCTTCATCAGTTTCATATTTCTTCCCTCTCTTTCGTTGCAACGCAGCCCATGATCAGAGCAAGCTCCAGTCTCTAGTTTTTTAACAGTTTGTGCGTTGTGGAGAGCGCTTTTACACACAAAGGTCTTTTCTGTTTGTATATATATAGAAACAGAGATTCTATATAAGCTTTCAGTTTGTATATCATTATTCAGTTTTGACAGAGATATCTGTAGAAGAAGTAAATTAACATTTAAACCAAACAAACGGGTTAACTAACCGCGAAGTGCGACAGAGCTTCCTACTAGAGCTTTGAAGTTGTGAGCTTTATAAGTTCTCTTCTTAAAATCTTGCCAGAAGGATTTTTGGGGATTGAAGCTAAAAATGTGACTTTGCGAATCCTCTTGTACGGTGATACCTATGTAATCCAAACAGAATTCCAGTTAAACCTAAGGAACCACGGTCAGAGTAGTTAAAAAAACATGATCTGCATTGTTGAAAAAAACCTGTTTTGCGACAAACCCCATGATTTCGTTTTCGGATAAGTTACTTGAAGCTTTTCTTACGATATATGCCATTGGATATTGTCCAGCTTCCATGTCAGGGATGCTTCAAAAACCATAAGAAAGAAAAGTAAAAGCTTCAGCCAAAAAAAGAATCATTAAAGAGAAGAATTTGCTGATGGTCCATTGTTAAAAGCAAAACTTACGGTATTACTGCTGCATCAGAAATCTCTGGATGAGCAAGCAACAATGCCTCTAGTTCAGCTGGAGCAACCTAACAAACATTACCAAAACCATCAACTTGACAATTCAGATGATCGATGCATTAAGAAAGATTAACTGAAGTTGAGTGTAGTTATTTACCTGATAACCATTGCATTTGATGAGCTCCTTTAATCTATCAACAACAAAGACAAACCCATCACTGTCAATGTAACACAAATCTCCAGTTTTCAACCATCCTTCTGAATCAATAGTAGAAGCAGTAGCTTCTTTGTTCTTGAAATAACCTATAAACAACCCAAGAAGTTTCAGACAACACCAATAACAAAAAACAAAACACATTTCACAGACAGATGAACTAAAGATCAAGAATCAAAAACCTTTCATCACAGTAGGACTTCGAATCCACAGCTCACCCGTTTGATTCACACCCAAAACCCGACCCGTATCCGGATCCACAATCTTACCTTCCACATTTGGAGCCAGTAATCCAGAGGCTCCATACCTCTTAGTCTCCTCTTTATTAAACATAGAAGCAGCTATGGCCGTCGACTCAGTCAAACCATAGCCTTGTAGAATCTTAACCGTCGGATAATTCTCAACGAACTTCTCCGTCACTTCTCTACTCAACGGAGCTCCTCCAGCCACCACAGTGTGCAACGAGCTCAGATCATACTTGGAATTGATCTCAGTTGCTCTGTTAACCATAGCAACCACAATCGGCGGCACAAGAGAAAGGTACGAAGAACGGTGAATCTCCACCGCCGAGAGAAGCTGAGCCATATCGAATTTGGGAAGAACCACGATTGTCCATCCTAACGCGATTAGCCCCGTCGCGAAACCACCGAATCCGAATATGTGACACATTGGGATTGTGCAAACGGTTCGCTGCTCTAAACCGAACCGGGCCCGGTATGCTTGTACCAATGCGATTAGGTTACGGTGACTCAGCATTACTCCTTTACTCGTCCCCGTCGTACCTGATGAGTATAACAGAGCCGCCGTGTCGTCCTGTTTGACTCGTTGCTTAACTCGTGACTCACTTGGTTCCGTTTCAATCATCGTCTCTAACCTCCCGACTATTTTCACGCGGTCACCGTAAGTTTGTGAATGCACGTGGTTTTCGTCCATGAGAACCACCGGGAGATTCGAATTCGACGCGGCGGCGAGTTTGGAGAGGAGTTGGCATGTGGTGAAGGCGAGAACAGGACGCGAATCGCCGATCTGTTTGGAGATTTCGTCGGAAGTGTTGACCGGATTAGCTGTGGTGATGATTGCGCCGAGTGACATTACGGAGAGGGAGACGATGGGGAAGAGGATTGAGTTTGGAGAGAGTATAATGACGACATTTCCCTTGCGTACACCTAATGCGTAAAGACAAGCCGCGACTCTTTCGACACCGAGCCAGAGCTCGGGGAAACTAAGACGACGACCGGTGACGGCGTCGACGAATACAGTTTTACCGCGATGAGGCTGTGACGAAATGAAAGACGTGACGTCGAGAAATTGATTTGGCGGGAGAGCCATTGGCTCACGTTTGCTGTAGAAAATCGATGTTGATTCACAGAAACCGCTTTTCCGATCTATCGTCAGTGTGCTGGATCCGATTTCGCTGCCGTCGCCGCCGTGTTTAACCGCCATGTTACGGGACTTTGGTTGTATCGAAAGCCTCTCAGTGATTGGTCGTTATTTTTGTTTTGTTTTATGGTAGATATATAAATATTTAATGAAGAGAAAATTATACCCGCAGAAGGATCGGGATACTGAAAATAAAGAGATGAGAGGAGGAGAGAGAGTTCTTATAACTTCTTATTGTTGAAGAATCAATTGTGATTTACAACGAACGAATTCGTTCGTTTATATAGGCAAGAAAAAGTAAGTTACTATACATGCATAGTAACGGTGGGCTCCACACAAATTATATTTTAATTTTAATCTTTTGAATGCGTAGCGTCTATTGTTGACGCTGTATTTTTCTGATTTTTGTAACAGTTTTTTTTTTTTTAAGAGATTGGTTTCTATGACGTGGAATTTTTTATATGGGTAAAACTAGCCCACTTCACTTTGAGCCGATCGTCCATCCCTCTTTTTCTTTGGTTTCTTTTTTTTTTCTTTGATTAAAATGCTGAATTTCGGATTATTCATCTCGTCATAAGTCATAACACATACATTTGTTATATTATTTCTATTCACTTTTGTAAATTATAAATTTGAATAAGATATAATATCGTGTTATCAGAAAATTGTCTCAAACATATTTCATACGAGTCTCTTTAAATTTAAATTATTCAGCATTATAGATATATTACAATTTCTCTCTTATTGAAAGAACATTTCAGTATAATAAGATCCTTTCATAGTTTACAAGTAGCCAGTTTGATTAGATCCTTGCGAAGCGTCTTCCCAGATGCAGTCTTTGGTATGGAATTTATAAATGCGACCTTTCTTATTTTTTTATATGGTGCTACCTGTTCAAAATTTTATTATTCTTTTAAAACCAACTATCATAAAATTAAATTACTACCTAAGAATAATTTAAAGTAAAAACAAGGTAAAGAAGAAGGTGTTGTTTTGTGATTATAAAAGCAGACCTGCTTAGAGATGAAGTCAATAACGTGTTTCTCAGTGAGATTGCTCTCATGTTTTCGTACCACGTATGCCATCGGATACTGTCCTGCTTCTTTATCCGGAAACCTTTGTGATACACAACAGAACCATCAACCATACATGAACAACACGAAACTCCACGTTGTTTTGACGTTTTATAGAGAAAAATTCATGGTGTTTTATAATGGAAGAAAATAAAAAAAGTAATGAAATATTTTACGGAATAACGGCGGCATCGAGAATGTCTGGATGAGTAATTAGAAGAGCTTCTAGTTCAGCTGGAGGTACCTGTTTATCGAATTCGAATCGTTAGATCTTTATTTTGAAATTTACAGTGTTTGTCAAATAATGAAGATAGATGTTTAACCTGATAGCCTTTGTATTTGATCAGTTCTTTCAATCGATCAACAACAAAAAGAAACCCATCCTCATCGAAGTAGCAAAGATCTCCTGTTTTTAGCCATCCTTCTAAATTAATCGTCGTAGCTTCTTGGTTTTTGAAATAACCTTACACTCAAATAAATATAAATTATTAATTCAAAAAAATATATGCAACGTTGTCAAATAAAATAATAACACTTTAAAATCATATGATACATACAAAATTCACTTACACTAAATCCAAAACCATATGCAAAATCCATCACTTCTTAAAAAAAACTTGGAAATCAAATTAGACTTCTTGGCTCTTGCTAAATTTGATTATTTGTCTCATAAAAAGTTATAAACTTGATCCCAATAATTACAATTAAATTTATATTCAACTTATACATTGATCTGACATGATCAATTTTACCTCTGACAAAAAAATGAATCAAGTTATTACTTTTAACCGCGAGCAAAAAATCTAGTGATATAGCGTCCTTGTTTTTTACCTTTAGAAATTGAAGGACCCTTGAGCCAGAGCTCACCCGTTTGGTTAATTCCCAAGACCCGACCCGTATTCGGATCCACGATCCTCGCCTCCACATCAGACGTCAACATCCCCGCCGTGCCATATCTCCGGCTCTCCTCCACTGAATTCGTAAAAGCCCCTCCGCCATTCGATTCGGTCAAAGCATACCCCTGGAGTATATCAACCGTCGGATATTTCTCTAGAAACCCTTCAGTCACCTCCTTGCTCAACGGTGCTCCACCACACCTCACCGTTGTTAGTGAGCTCAAATCGTACTTAGCCTTGATCAGATCTGCGTCGTTAATCATAGCTACTAAAACCGGTGGCGCCAAAGCCAGAGCCGTGGCTTGATGCTTCTCCACCGCATCCATCATATCGTGGAGCTGGAATCTCCGGAGGATCACCACCGTCGAACCCAATGCTACGGTGCCCATAGCGAAGGCCAATAACCCGTAGGAGTGGAACATCGGGACGGTACATATGAAAATATCGTCTCGTTTCAAATTATCCGATATGAATCTCGCCACGTGAGTTGTTAAATTCCGGTGAGACGAGATCACACCTTTGCTCGGTCCTGTGGTTCCCGACGAGTAAAGCATCATCGCCGTGTCGTCCTGGTTGACTCGGTCTCTGACTAGTTTCCCACTCGGTTCTTTCTTCACCATGTCGCTCAAAACCCCAACGACTCTGACCACGCGAGTGAACTCCACAGGCTCCTCGTCTTCGTTGTCGGTGAGGACGACGGAGATAGCGGCGGAGAGTTTGGGTGCCAGCTGGCGAGTGGTGAAGACGAGAGTTGGATTACTGTCGGCGATTTGTTTAGAGATCTCACCGGCGGTGTTGAGAGTGTTGGCGGTAGTGACGACGGCGCCGAGAGACATGACGGAGAGGCAAACGACGGGAATGTAGATTGAGTTTGGAGAGAGGATGAGGACGACGTCGCCTCTCCGTATTCCGACGTCATGATAAAGACAGTCAGCGACATTATCAACAGCTCTCCAGAGATCGGAGAAGCTTAAACGTTGGCCCGTGGCGGCGTCGATGAAGGCGGTTGTGCCGCGGTGCGGTTGAGAAGAGATGAATGTAGTGACGTCAAGCGACAGATTTGGCGGGAGACTCAATGATTGGCGCTTGCTATAGAATGTAGAGTTTGATTTGCAGAAACCGCTTCTGGGATCAATGAGAGATATCTGAGAATCTGCCATTTATTCTCAGGCGTGTGAATATGAAGCTCTCTGAGCAGAACACAAACCCAGCGGAAGAATTTGAAGAGTGGTTAATACAAATTTATTTTTTGTTTCTTTTCCCGAAGAGTGCTAATGTGTAAATCAAGTAGATAAAGAGTAGTTTTAGTATATGAAAATTATCAAAACGATAAACCCTTTACCAAGAAAATATAGCTATCAATCAAAACCACTAAATAAAATTCGCAAGTAATACCGAGAAAGGAAGAGATAGACGTCGATTTCGACTCACCACACAGTGCAGCTTTGTGAAGACTATAGCCCAAATTGGACTTGTTAGCACATATCAAAACTCATCCAAAATTACTTTAAATGAGATATTGGTGAAATGTTACTTCTTATTTGTTTGTTTTTTTCACAAGAAATACCTTTTTAATATAGAATACTGTTTAAGTTTTAATGTAATGTTTTTTGTTAAAAATATTTGATTTTTTTTTTGTTAAATCTGATAAACAAAATTCAAATTGTAAGGATATCTGAGTTATAAGGATATTGACAAATTTCTATGTTTTTTTGTATAGAAAATATCAATATTTTTTATTTTAAGAATTAGACAATATAAGAAATCTTGCTGCTTCTCTGTGACTTGTTTTACTTATCCAACATAAGCTGGCAAACTACTTAAGGCGATAATGGAGTACGTACTTAGTGTTCGGATCTTTGATTATAACAAATTACGGTCATATTTCCAAATGGATGGAGAGTGTTATTTAGTTTTGGTTTTTCCACAAAGCCACAGAGGTGATAGATTTAATATTTATACATTGAGATTGGGCTCTCATTATATAGTCTTGTAACAGTTTCAAAGCTTGGAGTTGGAAGTGACGAGCTGGATGAGATCTTTACGTAGAATCTTGCCTGAAGGATTCTTTGGTATAGAAGACATGAATTTCACTTTTCGTATCTTCTTGTACGGTGCCACTTGTTTTGCTACAAACTCCATTATCGACTTCTCTGTTAAGTAGCTTCCACTTTTTCGTACAATGCACGCCATCGGAAATTGCCCCACTTCTTTGTCCGGAAACCTGTAAATCGCCAAAACATTCAAAACTCAAAATTGTTTCTGGTACCAACACGGCAAGAGTATTGCTGTTGACTTACGGAATTACTGCAGCATCAATGATCTCAGGATGAGTGAGCAGCAAAGCTTCTAGTTCAGCTGGAGGGACCTATATATGCCATGATCACCAAAAGAACTTAAGCACAGTTTCAGAATCGATCAAATGATTCAATGATTTTCTAATCTATACGTCTAAAAAAAACTGCAGAGGATGTTTAAATAAGAGAGTAATGTTCGAATACATAAAAACAATCATCATTTTGTTAAACTAATCGATAACAAAATTTAACGAAATAAAACAAGAAAAAATGTAACCTGGTAAGCTTTGTATTTGATAACTTCTTTCAATCGATCCACAACAAAAAGAAATCCATCATGGTCGATGTAGCAGAGATCTCCAGTTTTAAGCCATCCTTCTGAATTAAAAGCTTCTTTTGTAGCTTCTTCGTTTCTAAAATAACCTTTTAAACCAAAAAAAAAATATAAGATTAATTTTGAAAATATTTGATTTGAATTACTTAGGGGTCCCGGTACCTTTTGCAATGGCGGGACTTTTGAGCCAAAGCTCTCCCGTTTGGTTCTCACCCAAGATCCGACCCGAACCCGGATCTACAATCATCGCTTCCACGCCGGACGACAACTTCCCAACGGCACCATATCTCCGACTCTCCTCCACCGAATCTATGGAAGCCCCCGCGCTGTTTGATTCCGTTAAAGCGTACGCTTGAAAAATATCAACCGTTGGATATTTCTCTAGAAAACTCTCTGTAACCTCCTTGCTCAACGGGGATCCACCGGATCTAACCGTTTTCAGGGAGGTCAAATCGTACTTGGCCTTGATAAGCTCTGAGCCGTTGATCATAGCTATCAAAACCGGCGGCGCCGAAACCAGAGTCGTGGCTCTGTATTTCTCGATTGCCGCCAACATATCGTGGAGATCAAACTTCCGGAGAATTACCAGAGTCGAACCTAACGCTACGGTGGCCATGGCGCAGATCAGTAATCCATAGGTGTGGAACATCGGAACGGTGCAGAGGAAAGTCTGATTTGGCTCAAATGGCTCGGCGATGTATCTTGCTATGTGCGAGATTAAGTTTCTGTGAGACGAATCCACTCCTTTGCTTCTTCCTGTGGTTCCCGACGAGTAGAGCAGCATCGCCGTTTCGTCTTGGTTAACTCGGTCTCTGACTCGCGGACCACTCTGTTCCTTTTTCATCATCTCGGTTAAAACCCCAACGACCCTGACTCCCCGAGTGTATCTCACGCGCTCTTCCTCTTCCTCCTCCGTCAAGACAACAGAGATATCGGCGGAGGCTGCGAGTTTTGGGGCTAGCTCAGGAGTTGTGAAGGCCAGCTTTGGCTTGCTGTCTGCAATCTGTCTAGAGATCTCACTGGCAGTGTTCAGAAGATTCGCGGTGGTTATGACGGCCCCTAGGGACATGACGGCGAGGCTTACGACGGGGATGGAGATGGAGTTAGGGGAGAGGATGAGTACGACGTCACCTCTCCTTATGCCGATGTCATGGTGGAGACAGTCGGCGACATTATGAACGGCTCTCCAGAAATCGGAGAAGCTTATACTGTGACCTGTGGCCGCGTCGATGAAGGCAGTAGTGCCACAATGAGCTTGAGAGGCCATAAATGTTGTGACGTCAAGCGAGGTGTTCGCTGGAAGTTGCAATGGGTTGCGTTTACTGTAGAATGTTGAGTTTGCAACACAGAAACCATTTCTAGGATTGATCAGCGATGACGATGATCTTTGGGAATCCGCCATTTTCTTTAGGTGGAGGATAGATGGATGATGCAGCTCTGAGATTTTAAGACACAAAGTCTAAAATTCAGGTGTCTTAAAGCATGCATTAGTAAGTGGAAAAAGAGCAGAACCATAGAGAGACTATAGCTGTTCCAAGGTTATGGATTAATGGATATATAAACCTAAATGCGCCAAGACCTATCTAAGTGTAGTTCCGGTTTATTTATTTTTCCATGTTAAAGAAGTTTCATTACCAAACTACACTATGTCCATACAACGAACGTGAAACTGCCAGACAAATCCAGGAAGACAATAAATCAGGTACATCTTTACATCATATAATAAAGGAAATTTGTTAAATGGTGTCAGAAATATAGCTGGTGTAGTATCCATGTTTTTAGCTTTGGCTAAATGAATTTGTCTTATAATTTGGCCCTGATCTAATATTTGATCATAAACATGTTTTGAACATATACTCTATTACATAAACCATATACTGGTCTCCACATTATTTATGTGTAATTTTCTGTGTTTTGAGACCACATGGTTATACTTCAACATGGATGCATATATAGTAACAGATTTTACTACAATTATTCAGCACAAAAAATAATAATACATGGAGATTGGCTCTCATAACAATCTCAAAGCTTGGAGTTGGAAGTTGCTAGCTTGATGAGATCTTTGCGTAGAATTTTTCCTGAAGGGTTCTTTGGTATGGAAGATACGAAAGCAACTTTTCGTATTCTCTTGTATGGTGCTACTTGTTTCGCTACAAACTCCATTATGGACTTCTCTGATAAGCTGCTCCCAGTTTTCCTTACAACGTATGCCATTGGAAATTGCCCCACTTCTTTGTCCGGGAACCTGCAAATCACCAAAACATTAAAAACTCATAGACTGTTTCTGGTACAAAAAGGACGAGTGTTATAGTGACTTACGGGATTACTGCAGCATCAGTGATTTCAGGATGAGTGAGCAGCAAAGCCTCTAGTTCAGCTGGAGCAACCTATGCAATATTATAATCACCAAATGAGTTTAGCACAATTTTCATCACTTTGATATGTAAGAGTAATGTTCGAATATACTAAATCTCCATCCCGCCAAGCCTATCATACACACACAATCATACTATATCAAGTGCTCAGAAATTACTTATTGGTTCAATGGAACGATTAGTCACTCATTACTAAAAAAGTCTAAAACAACAAGATGATCTGGTTGATTCACCAGCTGCATAAGAATTATAGTCTATAGCATCAATATCAATCGTGGTTAAATCTGAGTGTATATTTTACCTGGTAACCCTTGTACTTGATCAGTTCCTTTAACCGATCAACAACGAATATGAATCCATCTTCATCGATATAGCAAAGATCTCCAGTTCTTAACCATCCTTCAGAATCAAGAGTTGAACTCGTAGCTTCCTCATTGCTGAAGTAACCTGCCAAGAACAACCAAAATTGGTAAGAAACTTTCCTGCTTTGATGATTTCTGTCATCAAGAAACGATACTCAAATCAGAGTTAAAATGTACCTTTCATTATGGAAGGACCCTTAAGCCAAAGCTCACCGGTTTGGTTCGGTCCAAGAATCTGACCAGTAACCGGATCCACAATCCTCCCTTCCATACTTGCCGACAATTTCCCAGCGGTACCGTATCTCCGACTTTCCTCAACAGTATCCGTAGAAGCTCCTATACCCGTTGACTCAGTCAACCCATAACCTTGCAAAATCTTAACCGTCGGATACTTCTCCGCGAATCCTTCAGTCACTTCCTTACTCAACGGAGCTCCGCCGCATAAAACCGTATGCAGAGAGCTCAAATCATACTTAGCCTTAATCTGATCTGCACCGTTAACCATCGCCACAAGAATCGGAGGCACGAGAGGCAAAGACGTGGCTTGATACTTCCCAATCGCTGACATCATCTCGTGCATCTCGAATTTGGAGAGAACGATGATCGTAGATCCGTAAGCGAGTAATCCAGTAGCGAACGCAGCTAAGCCGTAGATGTGAAACATAGGAACGGTGCAGATGAATCTTTGCTCTCCATCATCAGATCCAAATCGATTCACGATGGTTTGAACCATCGCGATTAAGTTACGGTGAGACGAGATCACTCCTTTGCTCATTCCCGTGGTTCCTGAAGAGTAAAGCAAAGTCGCCGTATCATCCTGGTCAACTCGCTCCATGACTCGGTTCCCACTCGGTTCCTTCTTCATCATCTCCACCAATCTTCTTACTTTTCCCACTGAGTCAACTCGTTCCTCGTCCATGAGCACGATCGGGAGCTTCTTTGCGGCGGCGGCGATTTTCGGGAGGAGCTGCGATGTGGTGAAGGCGAGGACTGGATTTGAATCTTTAATCTGTTTAGCGATCTCGTTTGAAGTGTTGAGAGGATTGGTGGTGGTGATGATTGCGCCGAGTGACATGACGGAGAGACAAACGACGGGGAATAAAATTGAGTTTGGGGAGAGGAGGAGGACGACGTGGCCTTTGCGAATCCCTATCTCGGAGAGACAATCGGAGACGGATTCCACGGCACGCCATAGCTCGGAGAAGGTGAGGTTTTGACCAGTGGAAGCGTCGATGAAGGCGATACGGCCACGATGAGCTTGTGAAGATATGAAAGTAGTGACGTCGAGTGATGGATTTGGCGGGAGTGGGATTGGTGTTCGTTTGCTGTAGAATGTTGAGTTTGAGTTGCAGAAACCACTTCGAGAATTCACTGAAGCCATGGATTTTGTTTCTATGTAACTTGACACTACAGTGGAAATTTAATTTATGGTTCAGAAGGAGGTTTGACTTTTTATATGTCATAAGAAAAGGCTAAAGCAGCCGAAGAACACGTTGGCGTTCTTGTTCCGCGATATTTCCACCAATTCTCCAGGTCGTTGTTAGCGGCACGTGAAGCATATGTTTTTTGACGTGGTGGAGCCCTTTTAGATTTTAATGGGCCTTGTAGAGGTTTTTAGCCTCTCAAAGGCTCAAGCTTTGTCTCATTTGTCATCAACACCATATTACGGAAACAAATCAAGTAAAGTATCGAGAAGAGGAGGAAGATAAAACAGAGCAAGATGAAGGAAGAAGAGGAGCACACAAAGGATTTGTTAACCCGGTTCACGGCATTAACGAGCCGCTACGTCCGGTTAGGATCGATAGATCCACAACTTCACTATGAAGAAGAAGGTATTACAAACAAGAAGCAACAAGTGACCCGTCTAATACCCTTCACTAGTACTTAGACTCACTCTGTACCACTTCCTGTATAACTCAGAGAACAACAATGACAAGCTTATACTAATACATGTTTTCTCTCATCTCTATACCTTACTAACTCTTCTTCTTAGATCTACATTGTGCTATTGCTCTCTCTCTCTACTCCCTTCTCCCTTAGCTTCTCTCAATGAAGATAAGCACCTATATATAGAGACAGCTAACTAGGGCTTCCTTGTGCTAAAACAAACCGCAACCCTTTTGAGAACAAACTGACAAAACGGAGAGGCTCCCCTTTGTGGTCCCAAAAGTATCCCAACCCAACTTTAACTTGACTAGAGTTAAGCCTTGAGTTGCTTTTGATCTTCATTTGCTTGAGAAACAAGTTCTCATCTCCACAAATCTCCACCTGAGAACATGTTGATCAATCCACACAACCTTCACACACTTGAGAGAGGGAGAGAGTACCTTCTAAGCAGTTTAAACACCATAAACCTGCTTGATCCTTCCTGTATTAAACTTATATTCAATACACTTCAGCTGTGACTACTCACACTGCTGAACCTGAGCCATCAATACATCTTTAGATCACAAGTTGTGAAACCCAGCTCCAATGCAGTCTTGCATTAAGCTCAATTCTTCCCTGATCACCTCCTATGATGCATTCGACACCTGAATACTTGACATCACCGCTCAGACAACTCCATTAACAAGTCAAGAGAACACTTCCAGCTTGTTAAACACAACATAAAATTCCATAAGCTTCACCGCTTATTAGACGTCCAATCACACATTCTCCACCATGGCTTCTGTTAAGGCCATGAGCTTGTACCAGTGACTGAAGTACCAAATAACCCTCTGCAAAACTTGATTCCCTTGCTAGCTTCTAGGATTTCCTCATGCGCATTGAGATCAAAACCCTTTGAATTCACTTGAATCAAATGCAGAAAACCAGAATCATTTTTAAGCTCAAACCTGAAGCTTCTTTGATTCACCATGTAAACCATCTAAACAGCCTGTTTAGTACCACAACAGCTTTAGATGACCTTTACAAACCTGTTTAACAAAACCAATCCAGAACACATCCTTTGTTCAACAGTTCTGTTTAAACAGAGCCTTTACCAGCAGATTTGAACCACTACCAGCAATCTTTAAACCTGTCTCACATCAACAAGACCTTGTGATAACCCTGAGACAATCCTTACAGCACCTTCCACATCCATTCTAGAAATCTGATGCACTTTCTACTATAGTACAGTCCTTGCAAAACCTGCGGACCTCCACCAAACGACTTGAACCTTGCACCATCCGATTTTCAGACTTAACCAGTCTTTTTCTTCTTTATCATCATATGATACTAGAAGATACTCCACTTGAATGGTATGCAAGTATCTTTTTCTGAGAGGATACTTACATATACTCCCTTTTGGTGCAGACAACCAAAACTAAAAAAAAACTCCTTAGTTGTTGTCTTCCAAATGCATTCTCTGCATTTACATCCTTCCTAGGATTCCTTTTTCAGTTACCAAGACCAGCTTTGAGATGGGTTGTTATCAAACTTGATACACAACACTTTCACATTCCCGAAGTGAGCAACCTTGAGACAACTCCTGCAACACTCGTGCTTGTCTCCTCTCAGTTTCTCCTTTAGAGAACTCACTTAACCACTTCAATGTCTTCATCTCTATTTACATCTTAAGGTCTTCTGAAAAGCTTTCAGAAACCTGCAACTCCATCATAGAAACCTGCAGCTCTGCTTCTGAATATCATCACCAACAATCAGCTTCAAACCAAAAACTGTAGCCAGCCTTGTACCATCAGGCTATAACCTTCTTTCAGCTGAAAACCCGTTGATAATAAACTGTTCTTGACTTGTTTTCTTATTAGCACACTGAACTTCCATGAATCTGATAAACTAGTGAGTTACTCGGCCCTTTAACTCTTTTATCTTCAGCTAACCTTCTGAGACACCATCCACAAACATAGCTCCACCATGAAAAAAAAATATCCATAAGGATATGCATTGCTCCTTTTGTAGCAACAATACTCCACCTGAAACTATAACCCTTGGATGCACTTTGTCTCTATAAGCTGAGCTTCACCAATCTGAATTAAAGCTACTCTTCACTATATCTTGGATTCATTTCCACGTTCTTATGAATCACCATGATTACTTGCTTGAGAAAGTGTGTCAAAACATGAGACACATCTTCTTTCTTCCTTCAGCCACCTCAAATGATCCATTTGCAATCAGAAAACCACTAAGAACTTGTCTTTAATTTCTGCAGCCTTGTCCTCTCTTTACTTGGAACATTCTTCATGATCTAATTGTGAAACAACTTAGGTTGATACACCATCAAACCATACCTCACTCCCATAAATAAAATCTTGTACTTTCCTGTAGCCAATTCCACTATATACTTGTCTTGCACCGCTGTTCAAACGAACAGGACACGCCGCCTAACACCCTTTGGCTAGGAAGACTTTCGACACAAGAAAATAGTACAGCCAATTGCATACCATCAGATGCTTCTTTTAACACTTGAAGATCTGATCCAAAAAACACAAAACACAAGATACACTCTGAGAAAATATTGCTCCACCCGAGATAAGAACTCCTTGTTCCTTAAGCAAAATTACCATGTGTTATGCCAAACACAAATTTGCACAGAACATGAATCTTTTATGCTGCCATTACCTTGTCAAGAGAATTCGTTCTCATGACCAAACAAGCACAAACTGTCCAGCTTACACCAAACAACATGCTTACAAACCACGCTGCATTCCCTTTGAAAATAGCAGCCTTGTAGCTTCACGTTCTCTGATGATCCACAACCCGTAGATTCTCTCATTCACAAGAACTGACAACTACACACAGAGATAAACCTGCAACCGAAACCCCTTTCAAAACTCAGCCAATACCAATGAAGTTTCCATAACATTTTTCTGTCTTGAATAAGCAGAAAACATGACTTGCTTGATAACCATTCTGCAACCTCCTTTAATTTGAACCAAGAGTACCTTTACTGATACACACACAGCCATAAAACGCCCATAAGCTTCAAGATTCTAAGGCATCCCCTACTTCCATGAATCTTATGAGTTACCGGGCTGGAAACACGATAGTTAGAACACCACCTGAAACCGACTTTACCAAAACTGATTCAGCCAGAAGATAACATGAAAACCATCATTGAATCTTGGCTTAACTCTTGTAAAACCAGTACATAACACTTGTGTTCCAACAAACTTCCATTTCCAATAAATATGCAGAACTTGAGCAACCTGAAACTTCAATACAGAGCATCACAAAATCCCTTGTGACTGCAGCGGAATCAGACATAAGGTTTCCCAAAACTTGAGTCTTGAAATTGATGTTCAATTTCGACATCAACTCTTAACCGGTTTCTTCAACAATGATCAAGAATCACCATCTTCGATCAAATGCTTCTTGCTTCCATCTCTGAATTTCTCTGAAGGACTCCGAGCTTCATAACTTCGATTAAGCTCCAGCCTTCACATCTCTTTCATATATTGAAGCTCCTCTTTCTGATATTAACACAGACAAGAACTGATGCACCCCCGACCAAAAAACTCTACGAAATTTGGTGAGGCCTTTGCCTTTGTTGAATTCCTTCGAGTTTCAATTTCAACACTTCAACGAAAGAGAAAACGTCAAAGAGAAACGTGCCTTGTTCCTCTTTTGACTTTTGGGCATTAAGAGATCTTAGCCCACTTAGAATATTCACTAATGATAGACAAGGCCCATCTTGGTCCAACTTGAAGAAAACAATTTGTCGTACCTTGACCTTTCTTTTCCTCACCCGTCGACCATCGTAAGATGATTTTGCCGGCCACCATCCAGATGTTATCCGGTGACTTATATGGCCACCACATCTCCGTGATTCTCTCTCACCGTGCGTCTCTTCCTCGACAGCAAAACCCAAGGCTTCTTCTTCTCCGACTCGTTCTGCTCGTGACGGCGCCGTCTTCTCTTTCACGACGTCGTCGGAAACTCGAGCCACTCCGCCGGAATCTCAGCCTTCTCCGGTGAGAATCTCTCTGAATTCCTTGTCGCCGATCTCTGAACACCACAAGAGCTCATGACAAGCTTCCTCCGCGAAACCCAGATTTCAAAAGAAATCTTGCATCTTCTTCTGTCTTCTACTCTCAATGCTTCTAGCAAGTCTAGTTCTTCTTAGATGGACAAGACACTCCGTCTTCTATGAGATATAATCTCCAAACCATCTTTCTTCTCTAGAGCTGCACTTCCCGAAGCCATTGCTTGATAAAGGTGTGACCTTTTTTCGACAAAACTTGCATCTTCTTTGTAAAGCTTGAATCTTTCTCACGGAACCTGAAGATTCAGAGCAAAGCTTGAGTCTTTCAGCACTAACCTGTGCTCTGATACCACTTGTAGAGGTTTTTAGCCTCTCAAAGGCTCAAGCTTTGTCTCATTTGTCATCAACACCATATTACGGAAACAAATCAAGTAAAGTATCGAGAAGAGGAGGAAGATAAAACAGAGCAAGATGAAGGAAGAAGAGGAGCACACAAAGGATTTGTTAACCCGGTTCACGGCATTAACGAGCCGCTACGTCCGGTTAGGATCGATAGATCCACAACTTCACTATGAAGAAGAAGGTATTACAAACAAGAAGCAACAAGTGACCCGTCTAATACCCTTCACTAGTACTTAGACTCACTCTGTACCACTTCCTGTATAACTCAGAGAACAACAATGACAAGCTTATACTAATACATGTTTTCTCTCATCTCTATACCTTACTAACTCTTCTTCTTAGATCTACATTGTGCTATTGCTCTCTCTCTCTACTCCCTTCTCCCTTAGCTTCTCTCAATGAAGATAAGCACCTATATATAGAGACAGCTAACTAGGGCTTCCTTGTGCTAAAACAAACCGCAACCCTTTTGAGAACAAACTGACAAAACGGAGAGGCTCCCCTTTGTGGTCCCAAAAGTATCCCAACCCAACTTTAACTTGACTAGAGTTAAGCCTTGAGTTGCTTTTGATCTTCATTTGCTTGAGAAACAAGTTCTCATCTCCACAGGCCTTTTGTTAAAAGCCCAAAGAGCCGAATCGATATTCACACACACGCTTGAACTGAATCATCCGGGCGCTTGCCTGTCTGAAATGTGAAGCCGGAAGGTAGGTGGTGTACCTCTCTCTCTCTCTCTCTCTCTCTCTCTCTCTCTCTCTCTCTCTCTCTCTCTTTGTTTCTCTGTAATTGAGCATGTTAGGGTTATGTTTCTAGAATTCGGGTAATTGCTCCTTGGATTTATGAATCAATTTGATAATCAGAGGAACTGAATCAGGATCAGAAGCAATCCATCTTTGTTTCTCATACATTTTGATCAAAGAAATTTTACTTGTAGTTGTAATTAAATAATTCACACAGTTTTTATTCTCCAGTGAACTCCTTGTGAATGATTATATTTAGTTTAATAATGAGTTTAGGTTCTTGATCATGCACACTGCACAGAGTTGGTAAGACTCTATTGAGTCTTTTTTGTTCCTCTGTTTCGTAATTTGAAGATTTGGTTTCTGTTACTTCCTTCTTCTTGGCTAATTTGTGTTCTTGCCCTTCTCTTGGAGATTATCACTAGGTTATGTCTGTATTTCCACTGCTGTGTCTTTTTGTTTTATAACATTCACTTTTTGAGCAATAATAAACAATGGATGAGAAACTACGAGGAGATTCTGGCCAAAATTTTCTGGTTTATCTCTTTTTCTTCTCAGGTGTTTCGGTTGAAATAAAGAGAATCTGTGAGGAGATTACTTTTAAATATTTCTGTATTTGCTTAGAATTCTAATTTTTTACAGGTATATATCTGATTGCTGTCTTCCAGAAGTGGAATCAAACCGGAGACGTCTTAGCTGTAAGAATATTAAGAAGTGAAACTCTGGTCTGAATCAGTCGCCGGAAAATACACTCCAACTCGATCTCAAGCTCCTCAACAGTGATCTCTGCAGCCTCCAACCTTGTATTTGCGCTCTGCATCGCTACTTTGTCCCACGCATCATCAAAGCAGCAAAACTGCATTGTAAAGATGGAAGAAAATGACCCTATGCTCGGTTTTCTCTCGAGCCAAGGAACACACACGAGCGAGAACAGAGACTCAACCATAGTCACAATAGCTCTTCTCACTTCTCTCAAAACCTCAGCAACAAACAGAAGGTTCTGCTCTATGCTCTGCATCTCCATCATCCCTCTTCCTCCGTCAATACTCTTTAGACTATTTAAACACTTGAGCGTTTCCTTCTTGAGCTTGTTCCTATACTGATTATACGCTGCAATCTTTTCACTAAGGTTTGATCCATTACAGCGCAGAGTCAGTTGAAGATCTTGCAGGCCATGTCTCACGAGTGCCATGACATCTTTCGACACATTACAGACATCTAACATTATTAGTGAAGCTTCAGAGACTTGCTCGATCCAGTTCTCTTTCCCTTGTTGACTCTCTTGCTTCTGGACAGTGATCGAGAAGATAGTTTGCGCAGTCTTGTAGTTCTCTCAAACCTTCCAAGTCCAGTAGCGCCATTCGACTGAAACCTCAAAAGGGTATTGCTTGATGAGAGATTTGTGATTAGGGTTTAGTGAGATCTTGGGGTTACGCCCATAAATAGGGATTGTTTCAATTGGAGTTGAAGATGGATCTGAGGAGAATGAGGAAAGTACGAAGAAGGAACCCCGAGGTTAGTTTTTTTTCTTTTCTTTGCGAGTTGTTTTTTTTTTTTTTTGTACATACGTGAAGACATTAGTGTTGGAAACAGGTCATTTAGTTTACAAATTCAAACTAGTTGAAGTTAGTGGTATTTAGGAACCTTCCGTTTATGTAAGTGGCAATAGATTAGGGCCACATTATGGATTTGCTTCGATATTATTGTCTACATAACAAAACAAAAATACAATGTTAATTTAAATTATAATCGGATACCTTTATCACAAACCATGCATGAACCAAGCCAGCTAGTGTTTGTATTATCTGAACAAAACGGAAGAATTATTTATTTATATCTGAAATGTTCCAGAATTTTGTTTTTGTATTGTTGGTTTAATAATTTGTCGAATTCATCACCTGTTAAACACTAAACACAGAGTCATATCATATATGTATTGAATATTTATGATTGGAATGTACTATCTTATTGTTAAAGGTCACTAAAGGGGTATACATATAGATTATAGATATATGTGGAATGTCCATAATCAAAATTTTCAATTTAGTTAAATTCAAAACTCTTTCAAGAACACAGAAAATACATGATAGATAGCAGAACTGATGAGAACTAAAACAAACCCGTACATTACGTGCACATCAAGTCAAGTTCCTCATAAGTCTGCTTTGAGTTTGTAGCTAATTTCTCCATAGATTTGAATATCTGTTCCATGTTAGACTTCAGATTTAAACTCCCCATTAATTCAACAGATGGTACTGTCTTCATCTTCCTCTGCATCTTCTGCTCTTCCTTCTCTAACATCATGAGCTTCCTCTCTATATCCTTTACGCTACCATTAACATTCCTCTGCTCTTCCAATTCCATCCTCTGTTTCTCAACCTGACGGTTTACATGCATCAAAATCGTGTAAACCGCTTCGGTAAACTCCTTCTCTCCGTGTGATCTCTCAAGGGTTTGTGACCAAGTGTTAATAGCACCAAACAATGGTGGCTCTTCTGAGAGATCTGGTGTTGGTACTTGAGGTTCTTGCTTTAAATATCGCATTAGCCAACTGTTCAAAGCTTTAACATACTGAGCCTGAGCGTCTATCCAGTTGGACAGGCTTAGGCTCCAGTTCCTCAACTCCAGTTTCAATTCCATAGCAAGCTCAAGCTGAGATAAGTCTAGATTCTCCTTTATTGTCATCTTATCAAGCTTCTTAGCCTCTGCGATCACTTTAGATTGTCTCCTGTGACATTCTAGCATAGAGCTCCACATCACAGACAACCTAAATTGAGATACAATCAGCTTCGATTTCTCAAACAAAATCTTAAAAACTTATGGTAATGGTAGTTGCTTAATACCTGTGGATCAATTCTTTCATTTGGGACCAGAGCTCTTCATCGCGTAACTTGTTTATCGTCAGACAAATGTTGTTTATCTTATGGATAGAGACTCTCATTCTTGTAGACAAACACTGAACCGAAGAACGAATAACTTCAACTTTGCTTAGATCTGCACTTTTTGCTTCCAATCTCCTCAATAGTTTGTAGTTCTTCATGTGAGAAGTTCGGAGTTTCTCCTCAGCCTGTAAATAACAAATCAAAAGTCTTAAGGAACATAAAACAATTCGATAATTTTGCTACAAACCATTCAGAGCATTTTGATTATACCTTTACTTCTTGGTACAGTTTCTTCTCCCACATAAATAGTTTCTTCAGAGTAGATGAAAGATTATTGAAATCAGATTCTTCCACTGGTTTGGGATCAAATGGAGTCATCACCTTCTTCGTGTAGAGAATGTTTGAAGAAGGAAGAAGAACTCGAACATTACATTGATAAACAGAGCTTTTCTGGTAGTATCTGAATCTGGAAGTGTCGAACATCTTCGAAACATCATTCCCTGATTCTGAAGCTTTCTTGAACATTTCTTGCAATTGCTTTGTGACTTCAGAGAAATCTGATGAAACTTTATGATTCTTTGATTCTTTAGGAGCACTCTTCCTATTTTTCTTTGAGATTCTCAGAGTTTTCTTCTCTTCTTTTATTTTAATATTTTGGCTCACAGTAATCTTCTTCTTCGTCAACTTATCTTCTTCATGAAAACGAGTGGTCTCTCTATCTTTCAAATCTTTGGCATTCGTAATGTACGGAAACTCATAGTTCTCGAAGAAATTGATAAAATCCCAAGCGTAATTACTCGGAGCCGGCGGCGGTGGAGGCGGTGTTCTGGTGCCGGATTCGTATCTCCGGGAGTAAAACGAGTCATGATTAAGATTTAGTGATTCGAGTTTTGGACAGCTGAAAAGATCGCAATTCGTACCTTCATCTTCTTCCTCACAATCCGAATCGAATTTGGGAGGCGAATCGGAATCTGAACTGGTAACGGAGTGAGATGGAGAAGAGGATTCCGGCGAATACGTCTCCGGGGATTGGTCGGCTTCGGATTCAACATCTGGTGGAGACTCGACGGCTAGTTGGAAGAATCTATGAAGAGCAGGACCGACGGTGTTTAGAGAGAGGAGATAAGCTGAGTGAGCGTCGGCTAAGGCGTAGCTTCGCCGGAGAGTGTCTTCTAGTGAGTTGCAGCGGTCACGGCATAGAGAGACGGCCGGTAAACCGTCGAGCTTTGAGGGGGAGCAACCCATAACGGTCGTGGGGGAAGTTGTGGTTTTCAAAAGCTTGGATTTGTTGACATATATATAAAAAAAAGTCACGAGAAATAATTACGTGATTAAGGTAAGGTGTAATTAATATAGAATGACTAATTATTGGCCAACTGGAGACAGAATTACATTAGTGAGCAAATGAGTTACTACATTTTAAGACAAAGGATCCCAAATGCTGTGGCGGGATCCCCACTAAATAACGTCTTTTTTTTTTTGGTGAGAAAAATTATCATGGTTATCAGTTAAAACTGAAAAATAATCACTTAATTTCACATGTCAACAACTCAGCAAATTCCTTTTTCTTTTTTTTTTTATCACTTAATTTTGATCACACTTATTATTGTTTGGTTATAAACTTCTAATTCTCATAATCCAGTATGTATCTCTTATAATCCATATAGTTCAATATAGAATTTAGATTTGCATGCATTGTTTCCATTGAATGAGCCTGGATTACATTTGTAATTAGCATCTTGCCAAATTTAAACTAGTAAAAGCGCATTACATTTTCAAAAGGAAAAGCTCATATAGAGTGGTGACACTTCCACATAAATGATTATACGAATAATAGCCGTTTCTTTTCTTTTTTCTTGTGGTAGAAAGGACGTGCAACCAAACTTCAATCTTGAAATTACCCTAATTAATCATAATTAGTACAATAAACGTTGCAACTATTTTAATTTTCTGTTCACCATGAACATATTGCATTGATTGTTTTCTTGTTTTATTGAAACGTTGCATTGGTTTATTGTCGTTCAAATGACGTTTTTTTTTTTTTTTTGCAATGGAGGAACTATGCAATTTTCAACTCTGAAAATCAATGAAGTATAGAAAGTGGAAAAAGACGTGGTGTAAAAAAGTTAAAGCTAAAAAGTGAAAAGTTAAAATAAAAAAGGTTTGAGATTCAAAGTAACGTAAAGTATTATTATAATTTATAACGAAATCATGCTCTAAAAGAGTAAAAGTACATGCACATGTTGTAGGTACGGAACTCATATTTTAATCCTTTTTTCAGAACTCAAAACTCACGACTTTAGCTGCAAATATCAGTTTCTACTTTCTACATACAAATATTACAATTTTAACGAAGATATACACACATATCATTTTTAATCAGTATTTGTTCTAGTTGTAGCAATTTACTCACGACGATGGATATTTTTTCCACAAAAAGTTGTTCGAAAGTTTGTTTCTTCTGACTTCTATTAGATGAATGATTGGAATTAATCGGTTCAATGATAAGTCTGGAGAATAAAACCCTAAAATTCATGATTTTTTTTTTTTTTGATAACTACGTACCATTAAATTCTTGTCAATTACACTAACTTTATCTATTTATCTTAGATAAATATATAAAACTGAGCATGACCGAGCGTCTGCACACGTCATAACCTAGGTCTTCAACTTAAGTGTGAGAGTTGGAACTTTTTGAGTTTGGGGCTTTTGAGAAGATAAGACGAAGAAAAAAGCGAAAACTTCACAATCTATACTATATAAAATTCAGGGGCGGAGGGAGAGAAGATTCATAGGGGTCAATTAACCCGGTGAAATTTTTAAAAATAGTTGAATTTTTATATAAAAAAAATTATTGATCCCAATCCAATAAAACTATTGACCCCTATAAGAAAAATTTATGTTACAAACCCAATAATTACACTGTATTTATAGATAATATTAGCCTAATAAAATTTATTTTAAGTAAATCTACTACAATTAAACCTACTAATATAAACTAATATAATATTTTAACATTTATTTTGACCTGATCTAAAAACGTTTTACCTTCTTCTTCTTTCTTCTTTGTGTTTTTAATCAATCTTTGATCGTGTGATGGTGGAAACAAGAAAACATCTTTCACATCTTTTAGTATATCGACTTATGAAGCTACCTTTTATGCATATTTTAGAAGAAAAAAAATATTTTGACCCCGATGAATAGAGTTTCTGGCTCCGCCACTGATAAAAGTCGAGGCTATAAGTTTCTGAGGCCGTCCACGTGGAATTTTAAACGACCAATCGTGGTTGCACATGTCATTAATTAGCATTTTTAGCTATCATATTAGTTAACATTTTTTAATTATAATATTTTCTATATTAAGATATTTATGAAAAGGAAAAAACAATATATATGTAAAGAAGAGAAATGTCAAATGTTTGAAAAAAACATATGAAAATTTTTGGGTTTAAAATGAAAAGGAAAAGGCTAATAATGAA